AATTTAAACAGATCAATTTCAAGCGATGAAATAGAAAATGCCATCAAAAGCCTACCAATAAAGAAAAGCCTAGGACCAGACGGATTCTCAGTTGAGTTCTACCAGACCTTCAAAGAAGAACTAACACTAATCCTCTTCAAATTATTCCAGGAAATAGAAAAGGAGGGAACCTTCCAAACTCATTCTATGAAGCTAGTATGACCTTGATATCAAAATCAGACCAAGACACATAACGGAAAGAAAACTCCAGACCAGTATCCCTGATGAATATAGATGCAAAAATTTTTAATAAATACTGACAAATCACATACAAAAACATATTAAAAAGATAATGCACCATGATCAAGTGGGGTTCATCCCAAGGATGCAAGGTTGATCCAACATCCAGAAGCCAATAAACATAATTCATTATTTCAATAGATGCAAAAAAAAATATCTGACAAAATAGAGCATCCATTCATGTTAAAAATACTAGAAAAACTAGGGATAGTAGGAACATACCTTAGCATTGTAAAAGCTATATATGTTAAACCCAAGGCCAAAGTCATTCTAAAAGGAGAAAAATTGAAAGCATTCCTTTTAAAAACTTGAACAAGACAAGGATGCCCTCTTTCATAACTTCTATTCAACATTGTCCTTAAAACTCTAGACAGAACAATTTAGAAGAAAGAAATTAAAGGTTTACGAATAGGAAAAGAAGAACTCAAGCTATCACTATTTGATGATATGAGGATGGCCTTAGGCCTGAGCCTAAGCAACTCCATTTTTAAAATTCCAGTTTGAAACCTGCAGTCTCACCAGGCACACCCACAGAGCCCTCCAGTATGGCCTCAGACAAGTTACTTCCCTTCACCCTGATAAACAGAGAGAAGCCTCTGGCAGGTTGTCCTCACCTGATAAAAGGGAAAGACAAGAAGATCAGGGTGGAGACCACCAGATCAGAGGTTTCTGACTCCAGGGTAAATGATGTCATGGAGAAATCCAGTGGTAGCTGATAAGGATTGCAAGGGGGGTCAAAAAGCCCCCAAATTTAGTATAAATAATAGAGCTGATGAACAGGAATTCAGCCAGCCAAAACAAGGATGCACTTGAGCTAGAGGGCCTGATGAGGACCTGGACTGACATCCCATCACTTGTTGTTTCCAGAGCCTCTGTGTGATCCTCACTGCTCTCAAACTCTACCGCTTCGTCTGGACCCTGGTGAGAGCTGCAACTGCTCCCTATGTGACCCTCTTCTCAACAGGTCATCCACTCTACACAAGAAGAAGCCTGCTTTGGTTTGAAACCTGATCACTGCTGTCTGAGTAAGTGTGCATCTGCTGGAAGTAAAGCCTAAGGCTTGAGACCTTTGAACTTAGCACACAGAGGGAATGTCTTTCACTAGCCTGTCATGATTAAGTGTGTTTGCAGTGCTTAGAATTAATCTAGAACTGTTTGCTGTGAATTAATTAATCCAGAATTGTTTAATGTGAATTGATTATGTCTATTGCAGTGACTAGCATTAAGGATTGTCATTTTCCTGATTAAGAACCAACAGAGTTAAATAATATTGAGTAATTTGAGTGAACAAAGCATCGAAAGGGGCAGAAGCACGTGGACATTCTTTATTTTTCCCCTCTACTGTATATGTCGCAATTTTGCCCCCTGGCAACAGACAATGACATGATTCTGTATTTGGAAGATCTGAAAAATTCCACCAGAAAACTTCTAGAACTAATAAATGAATTCATCAAAGTATCAGGATATAAAATCAACACTCATAAATCAAACACATTCCTATATATCAGTGATGAAACTATGAAAGAGAAATGAGGAAAACTACCCCTATTCACCATAACCTTAAAAAAAAAATACTTGGGGATCAATCTACCAAAAGAGGTGAAAGATCTTGACAATGAAAACTAAAGAACACTAAAGAAAGAAACTGAAGAAGAAGACCTTAGAAGATGGAAAGATCTCCCATGTTCTTGGATAGGCAGAATTAGTATTGTCAAAATGGCCATTCTACAAAAAGCATTTTACGGATTTAATGCAATTCCTATTAAAATTCCAATGACATTCTGCATAAAAATAGAAAAAGCAGTCATGAAATTCATTTGGAAAAATAAGAGGCCCAGACTAGCCAATACAATCTTCAGCAAGAAAAGTGAAGCACGAACATCACAATACCAGACCTTAAATTATACTACAGAGCTTTAATAACAAAAGTGGCATGGTATTGGCACCAAAACAGACATGAAGACCAATGGTACAAAATAGAAAACACAGAGACAAACTCACATGAATACAGTTAACTCATACTAGAAAAAGGTGCCATAAGCATACAGTGGAGAAAAGAGCCTCTTCAACAAATGGTGCTGAGAAAACTGGAAATCTATATGTAGCAAAATGAAATTAAACTCCTATTTCTCACCCTACACAAAACTCAACTCAAAGTGTATCTAAGACCAAGCATTAGACCAGAGACCCTGAGCCTAACAAAAGAAAATGTAGGCCCAAATTTATATTATGTCAGCTTAGGAATCAAATTCCTCAACAAGACTCCAAAAGCACAAGAAATAAAATCAAGAATCAATACATTGGATAGTATCAAACTAAAAACCATCTTCACAGCAAAGGAAACAATCAAGAGCATGAAGAGAGAGCCTACAGAACGAGAGGAAATCTTTGCCACCCACACCTCAGATAGAGCATTAATCTCCAGGATTTATAGAGAACTCAAATAACTTAACACACACACACACACACACACACAAAAATAAATAAATAAACAAAAAACCAAAAAACCCAATCAATAAATGGGCAAAGGAACTAAACAGGCACTTCGTAGTAACATCCGTCAACAAATATATGAAAAAATGTTCAACATCTCTAGCAACTAGAGAAATGCAAATCAAAACTACACTGAGATTTCATCTCACTCCATTCAGAATGGCAATTATCAAAAATAAAGTAACAACAAATGTTGGTGAGGATGTCGGGGAAAAGGCTCACTCATACATTACTGGTGGGACTGCAAATTGATGCAGCCAGTATTCAAAGCAGTACGGAGATTCCTCAGAAAACTTGGAATGGAACCACCATTTGACCCAGCTATCCCACTCTTGGTTTAAATACAAAGGACTAAAAATCAGCATTTGCCAGTAAATGGATGGAGCTTGAGAATACCATGCTAAGCAAAATAAGCCAATCCCAAAAAACCAAAGGCTGAGTGTTCTCTCTGATATGAGGATGCTAACACAAAACGCAGATGCTAATACACAATAAGGTATAGGGAAGAATAGAAGAAGTACTTTGGATTAGATAAAGGAGAATGAAGTAAAGGAGCTGGGATGGGAATAGGAAAAACAGACAAATGAATCAGATATAACTTTCCTATGTTCATATATGAACGCATTACCAGTGTAACTCCATATCATGCACAAGCAAAAGAATGGGAAATTACACTCCATGTATGTATAATATGTCAAAATACATTCTATTCTTATGTGTAACTAAAAAAAAATGGTAAAATTTAAAAAAAAATAAGACTTCAATTCCAATAGACTTGAGAGGGCTGGAACATCTCAAGTTCCAGCAATGGTTGGGACATCTTTACAATACATACATCCAATGATGTTAAACAATTTTTCATCACTACAATGCTTGAGATAAACAATTTAAAGGGAGAAAAGTTTATTTTGGTTCATGATTTCAGAGGTGCCAGACCATGGTTGATTGGTCCCATTGCTTTGGATCTGTGGTGAGGCAGAACATCATGGCAGAAACTCATGGGCAAGGAGGCTCCAGCCAGGAGGCAAAGAAAGAAAAAGAGAAGGGGCCAAGAGCCCTCTCAAGGGCACACCTCTAGTGACCCAGCCCCACCAAGCCCCACTTCCCAAAGGTTCTACCACCTCTGAATATCACAAAAGGCTGACAGCCAAGCTTTTAGCACATGGGTCCTTGGGGACATTTAAGATCCAAACCATAACAATGTGTATATCCAGTATGTGTATAAAACCATAATAAAAATATGAGAAATGGGCAAAATATTTCTAGAAACATATCAAAAAAAGGATATTCAAATATAGGGGGGCTAGGGAAGAACCAAGGTGCTTTGGTTTAGACAGGGGGGAGTAAAAGGAGGAGAGGGGGAATGGAGGTAGGAAGGTAAAATAAATAGGACTTATTGCCCTATGTGCATATATGACCAGTGTAACTCTATATCATGGACAGCCAGAAGAATGAGAAGTTATACTCCATTTATGTATGATATGTCAAAATGCATTCTACTGTCATATATGACTAATTAGAACAAATTGAAAAAATAACCAAAACATTTTCAAAATGTGATCAAAGTCATCAGGAAAATACAACTTAAAACCACAGAGATACCATTAATATTCCCACCAGAATTATTAAAATGAAAAAGACTGACAATGCCAAAGGTCAGGAAGAATGTGGAACAACTGCAATTTCATACATAGATGTTAAATGACCATTTTTTAAAACTTTTTTGCTAAACAAATACATAACCATGTTCAGACACGTTATTAGAATATTAATAGCATTACTATGCATAATAGCTGAAAACTTGAAATGAATGTCCACCAAGAGGAGAACAGAGAAATATATTAATATATAATAATATATTAGAATAATACATAACAATGAAAATGAATTAACCTCAAGACGAAAACATAATAAATTTCTCAAAATAATGCTAAGCAAATGCAGTCAGATACAGAAATGTTTTATACTCTATGATTTCATTTATATGAAGTTCAGAAAAACAAAATTACCCAAAGTGATTAAAGTCAGGATAGAGATTTCTTTGGGGAAGATGAAATATTTGGGATGGGCCTGAAGGTGTTTCTTGGGTGCTACTAAGAGTCTGCTTCTTGATCTGGGATCTGGTCACTATGTTAAAATGATTGGCCTACAAAGTTATTTGTATACATCCTGTATGAATGGTATACCCAAATTAAAATGTAAAAATGAAATGAAACACAGACACCTACATTGCTTTCCATTTTCCTGCTGTGGGGAGAAGCAAATCCGGCTGATGTTGCTGCTTTCAGTTTGGTTTTTAAACTGGGAGCATTTGAGAAAATTGGGCCAGGAGGAGTTCACCATCCCCAGGACAGACTCACAGCCTTCCTTTGCAGCCTCACAGAAAGATCTACAGGGCAGGAGGCCACGCCTAGAAGAAAAGAAAATGGTCAAAATGAATATTTTACTAAAATACTCCTCAAAAAAATATTAATGTTAGCAACTAGTGCTGTAATGTTATTTGAACTTATATTTCCTACAGTCAACAACTTAAATTTCTGCATCCAGCCCTATGGCAATGATTTCAGTCATCATATTATCTGGATTCTAGAAAAATAATGTATTCCCTAATACATCATCTACCTACTTCTTGTGGTAGTAGATAGTAGTAGGTAATCATTTATCTCAAATGATTATTTTTAAATTTTCTCTGCTAAAATACACTGGCCAATCCAAAAAAAAAAGATTTCTACTGGATATCAAAAGGAAAAATTTAACAGGGGAATGAAGGCCTCGAAATTGCAAAAGCAGAAGTAGGTCACAAAATAGGGTTACTCTTGTTTCTTTTACTTCCCTTTGAGAAATTTAAAATATCACTAAGAGATACACAAAGGAAAGTTGTTCTTAACTTCCCCCAGCCTCCCTAGAAAAGAAACATTACACAAAGTGGCAACTCAGGAGACCTTGCACAGTTATTCATTTATCTTTTCAGATTTTTATTTTGTCTTCTGCAGATAGAAAAGTACAAACAATTATCTGTTAATGGTAAGAATAATGATGTCCCTGGAGCTTGTCTTTATTCACCTAAGATGCAATCAAACCCGCCCAGACCCACAGCTCTGTGGATAGAAAGTTGGATGCTAACAAGGCCAAGGCCATGAACTGTTTCCTTTCAGATGCAGGTGGATTGCTCTACCTTACAGTTGGAGGGTGCATCTTTTTGTCCTTGCTGGTCATCAGCCAAAGTCATTTCAATGGATTTTAAGGAAACTGGGGGGGGGGGGGCATATATGTCAGTCAAATCAAAGCACACACTTCACAAATGTGGACATAATAAGATATCACAGCATCATACAATATTAAATGTGCAGGAAACCTTAAACAACACCTCATTCAATTCCTCCATTTTATAAGCACAGGCACTGTAGAATTTGGGATGTACTCAAGGTCACACAGCTCCTAACAGCAGCTTCCTAAGCAGAAGTGGGAAAGATCCCAGGTGTTTAAACATTCAGGCCATGCTCTACCTACTCTCCCATATCATCTGTTCTCAAATAAAGGCCTAATAATTGGATTTAAAAAAAACTCCTTAATCAAACAAGCTCATATATAACACACCATTCTTACTTCTATAGATTACAGTAACACAATGGGTATGCCAGCCATTGAGATAAAATGGAACAGAGAAGTCAAAGAATCTTGGGGGAGGGAAAGACCTTGTTAAATATAAAAATGTAGAAAATGAATTATCAACAATTACATTCTAATAAAAAAAATGTTTTTGAATTTCAGAACATCATGTTAAAAATTGAGCATATTTTAGAATCCTGACACAAAATTACCTACATACCTTAATATGTAGCCAAATTTCATAGTGAAGGTTGGGAAAAGAAGTTTTATACCAGAAAGAATTACTTTTAGTAAATGAAATATGAATTGTTCCAGGCCAGTATCGTGGCATAAAAAGACACATGATTGCTATTCAGAAAATATATTAGATACTTACAGAAATAAGAAAGTATCATTTAAATAACACCATTTTAAAATATCTCCTTCACTACATTTTATTCCAGAGAAGTTAGACTATATTTTCATAAACAAAACTGGGGCACATAGTTAAGGAATGTGGAGAACATAGATCATTAGGCATTTGCTTACACTTTTAGGCACTTTTCTCAGGGTTTCACAAGCATTAATTTGTGTATTTCTCACAACAGCCTTATATGAGAGGTGTTATTACTATTATTTCTAATATACAGATAAGCAAACAAGCACAGGAAAAATAAGAAACTTGTCCTACTGAGTAATGAATGGCAAATCCAAGCTTAGAATCCAGGCAGATTAACCCAAGGACCCATTCAATTAACTTACTACAGGCACGTTCTTCATGAATATGTGTTTCAATAGTACCACTCAAGGTTAATTTGCAAATTGATATGTATTTTCCCATTGCACAGCTACATACAGGGTGGATGGGATCTCAATTCATTTGACAAAAGTATAGTACACCTGCAGTGAAATACTGTATTTTTAAAGCGGCCAAGGAAGACAAAGAGAGGTTTCCATTTTCTTATCTAGGTGTGAGACAGCCCACAGAAGACTTGTCTTTGGTAAGCCCCTTTTGTCTTCTCATCCTAGCCAGGGTCCTAGTGTCCTGATGCCATCCTGACCACCCTGACTCCAGCACCCCACCCAGAAAACCACATCCACCAGAGTACTTAGAACATATTCTTCCCTTCCTGCAATCAAAACTGTACTCCCCACTGTAGCAGATCTTAAGTAGGCTTTCAAATAAGAGATGGGGGCGGGGAAACAGAATATTACACAAAAATAGATGGACACTTACTTTTCTGGCAATTTTTGCATCTTTAAAGGAAGACTGCTTGCTGGCACAAAGCAGTCTTTGATGAAATTTCAGGCACCATTGGAAATTGAATAAAAATATCATCTAACATTTTTTGAAGGTGTGGAAGATTACTACAAATGACCTCTCCCAAGCAGTTCCCAGGTCTTTTCTCACTTCTGATGCCACTGTTTTTTGTTTTTTAAAATCATTCCACATCTTTTTTTTCAGAATCTTTCCAGGGCAACACCAATGAAGTTTGATACAGGGGCCCAGCAGAACTGTTTCCATTTTCTAAAGTTAGGTCTTTTAATTCAGAAACTAACACGTTCTCATTGTTACCATGGTCATTTTTTTTCTAAGTCTACCACCTATAACCTTCACATGGCCACTTCTCCACTGTCTGATCTTGAGCCAACAGTTCAGTCCTGCCAAGACTCAGCTTCTTCTTTTGAAAAGTGAGGGTTCTAGAAAATCTGAAGTTTGTACCATTTTTCATAATCCTTTTACCACAGACATTCTGTAAATCAAGATTCACTCTTTAATGAAATACTTCTCAGAGGAGCACTGATAATCCCACCAGCCTTGCTAAATTTCAAAAGTAATAAGCGTTTTTCTCAGGATTTGTTATGGGAATATATAGAGACATTAAAATACCATTAGACCCTTCAATCTAAAAATAGAACATAAGAAAAATGTCTAGAGTGTTTCAAAATAGCTCTCTAAAGAGTTATAACCAACCAAGAGCCATAATCTTTAAATTGCTGGACCAGGACGTGTGACATAGTGGTATAATATTAATAACTAGCTGTCCTTTTAAACAGTAAGCAAAACGAGGAGCCATTTGTTCTTGCTTTGCATAAAATTCCACTGCCTATGAAGGGTTGAAGTATTTTGCTTTTCATCACATGGAACAGTGTGGTGAGACAGGCCACACTATTTTGGAATATAAGTATCTATATCCAAGCAACAAGTGGACTGACAAATGAAAAACAGTGCTCATCACAAGGGAGGATCCACTTTGGCTATCAGAATTACTATTTTAGAAATGGTGATTATTTTAAATTGATGTGTGAAGTATATCTGGTATTGTGCAAAAGTCCTTGACACATTTCAAATAAAATTAAAGAGGAAAGCTCTTATACTACTTCTATAATTATCTGTTGAAACATTCAATAAACAAATAAATAATGCTACTATATGGTGATAGTGAGATTTTTATGGTGTTTTCACTAGGAATGATATTCTAAAGTGATCCCTACCAAAAATTTATCCATTTTACCTCCAAAACTTTTAGAGAATTTATTTAAATTTTCTTTAAAAAATTTTAACAAAATTTTTACAAATTTTGTTATATTGTATATCCATAATGGGTTTTTATCTACAAAAAAGTTCTGATAAGGACATAAACTTAAAATTACTGAATAAGCTACAGCCACAGAATTAAGTTTATATGGCTAACAGATTATTAAATTTTATAGATGACATCTTTTCTAACTTTTAATTTGAATGACTTTTATACTTAGAAGTTATGAAAATGGTACATAAATTTTGCATATATCCTTCATCCTAGTTTCCATAATTTACTTATCTTACATAGCTACAATATTATTAGAACCAGGAAATGAATATTGCTAATAATACCTTTAAGTAAACTAAAGGCCCTATTCAAATACCACCAAAAAAGATCCCACATTGCATTTAGTTGTCAATTTTTACTTTTTTTTTTTTTTTAACTAGCCTTTAAATATATTCGGAGAGCTCAGGATTTTTTTTAATTTTTTTTTTAATTTTTATTGTTGGTTGTTCAAAACATTACATAGTTCTTGACATATCATATTTCATACATTTGATTCAAGTGGGTTATGAACTCCCATTTTTACCCTGTATACAGATTGCAGAATCACATCAGTTACACATCCACTGTTTTACATATTGCCATACTAGTGTCAGGATTTAAATACATTAGGAGAGCTCTTCATCCATAGGGTGGGAGGAGACAGAACTTTGCAGCAGGCACATTCTGAGATGGTTGCCAATTATCTCTGCCTCCTGGCATTCTTGCCCTGTGTCAGTCTCTCCTCTTAAATGTGTGAGCCTGGTCATTTGCTTCCACCATGGAAGGTAATGGGATATCAATTCCATTATTAGGCCACAAAAGACTATGACTTCCATCTTGCTAGCTAGCAGACCCTCTTCCATACTAGTTTTGATGAAGCAAGTTGCCATATTAGGGAGGCCCATATGGCAAGGATCAGAGGGTGAACTCAGTCCAACTGCCAGTTGGGCACTAAGGCCCTCAGTCCAACAGTCCTTGAAAAATTGAACATACTCCAAGATTCCCATGCTTTTGGAAGTGGATACTTCCCCAGTCAAGCCTTCAGATAAGACACCAGCCTGGCCAAGACCTTAATTGCACCCTTGTGACCGACTCTAAAGGAAAGAATTCAGCTAAGCCACTCTCAACTTCCTGATTCACAGAAACGGTGAGGTAAAGATGAGTGTTGTTCTAAGCTGCTAAGAGTATGATAATGTATTCCCCAGCAATGGGTAACAATACACTTCAACACATCACTTTGTCAGAGGCA